AAAAAAAAAAGTAAAGATACCTAAAACGTTTTCGAAAGAACGACTTCTTACCTGAGCTTTCAAATAAAGCTTCATCTCTCCATACCGCGGATTGTGAGGATTCTTCTTCGATATATAGCGTAATACAGGTTTGCGAAGGTCCAAATCACAATCTTTCAACATATATTTCTCTTTAGCTTCCGTTCGCGCAATTAACTTATGAGCTCCCTTGTCATCTCTGCATAAAAAGTAACGAATTAACAATACTGAGTGTATTTTAAAGTTTTAATCTAGAACTACAATAGCACAGACCATTCAAATCTTGAACTGGAAATAAAGAAATCTAATCATAAATTTCAGAGATTATAAGCATGAAACATTAAGTCATCACCACCTGCATGCGTCACAAACAGGATAGTTAAATCTCTCCCACAAATACGAATCAAGGAGTGGCTTTTTACAAGCTTTGCAATCATCTGGAGCTTCCAAAAGTGCAGCAGCGGCTTCAGCATCTGCGCCTACAAGATTAAAAATCGAAACTTTCATCAGTCTTCGTCTTGAGGTTCAGTAATACTAAAAAGGCCTCCATTCCTTTTTATGTCAATGATTATGAAAAAAAAAAAAAAAGAATCAACAATCCTTGTTCATTTTATAATTTCCATACAGAAACTCGGTAACAGGTCAGAAAATGGAGTTCCGAGAACTCATGAGTGGGAAACAAAACAAAACTAACGTTGTTTCTTGTACTCTGCAATACGTTCTCTTCTTTCTTCTTCTTCATCATCGTCTTCCATAAAACCACCAGCTGTTGTATAGCATTCCTGACTTTTTCTAAATCCAGAAGCAGCTAGGCATAATTACCAAGGAGTTATTTTTAAACATAAAAAACTGACTGGTCCACAGGTAAAAGCGAAAAAAAAAAAAGCTCAGATTCAATAACGATTTGAACTGTACTTGTAAAGTCTTTCTACGATGGTGGTACCCCGTTCATCATCGTCAAGTCGGCGTTTCATTCTGATTAAAAGAATTCAATTTTATGACTGTTTCACTTAAAATTATGTCAGATTTTTATGAAACACAAGTTGTAATGCAGCTATGAATATCTCACTGGGCAAATTAACATTTCATAGATTTTACAACTTACTTTATTCGTATTTTAAAGGTCACAGCTGTTTTAGCGCTCATCCATTTTCTCATAAAATTTACAAAGATCTACAATTACTATCGAAAAAAAAATCTTTTCTATACAATGCGCGAAAAAAAAGAAAGTTTATTTACAAGTAAAATGAGACACAAAAAGCTACTGTAAAATATGAACAACAAATGTACGCATCTGTCCTACAGAATAATCTTTTTGGCGACTACTGACAGTTTTCAAACTCAGTGGCAAACTATGAAAAGCAGCAGTAGAATATGATAAGCGAAAAGCGCTGCCTAGTATTTCAACATATTTATAGACGACAAATTTCTAAAGAGATCAAATGCGGGAGAGGCAGTGCCGTTTGGCACTATGCCAATCTCAACAATAAAACAGGTGTAACCTTTTTGCTCGCTTTACTGACTGAGCGTCCCTTTTATGGATCTGACAGTCCAATTTCAGTTTAAAGGCTTTCAACGATACTTGTCGGGCTATCTGTTGTTGCTGATCCTTTTCGGTATCTACCATACCGCTAAATCTGATTCTGCCGACTATCAACTGTTCGTTCATTAGTGCGCACACCTTTTAACTGTTCAACATTGCAGAGATGCCCGAATAATTGTTTATAATTCAATAATTGTTTAGATGAAATTAACTTACTGATTTAATTTCAATA